AGGAGGAACGAAAAAAGGCTGACAACCGCGCGCGTGCTCGAGAAACGTATCCGCCTGTTCATTTTCACAGCACGAACTTGTACAGGATCTCCATCATTGTCCGGTCTACCGAACAATGGACGATTCAACGCAAAATCTGGACGCCGCGATACGCTACTTCGTTGGTCGATGCAAGAGCAGTTTTGTTAAAGGATTCTTACTGTTCTTTTTCTGCGGACCAGGGTCACGATCGCCACTCTGGGAAGGAACGATGGGAACGTAGGAAGGAATTGGTGTATTTCTTGAGAGACAGGTTTAAGAATTTGAGGATTTAGGGGTGGGAGGTTGGGAAATTTGGGGATTCTAGGGTTTTTCAAATGTGGGATTTGGGGAGTTGAGGGGCTGCAAGTTTGGGGAATGGAAATTTAGGGATTTGGGAATTTTGGGGGTTGGAAATTTAAGGATTTGGGAATTTTGGGGGTTGGAAATTTAGGGATTTGGGAATTTTGGGGGTTGGAAATTTAAGGATTTGGACATTTGAGGCTCTGCATATTTAGGGGTTGGAAATTTAGGGATTTGTGAATTTTGGGGTTTACAATTTTAGGGATTTGGGAATTTGAGGATTGGAATATTTAGGGACTTGGACATTTGAGGCTCTGCATATTTAAGGGTTGGAAATTTAGGGATTTGGGAATTTAAGGATTTAGGAATTTGAAGATTAGAATATTTAGGAATTTGGATATTTTAGGGTCTAGAAATTTGGGGGTTTGATATTTAAGGATTTGGAAGTTTGCGACTTGGATATTTGAGAGTTTGGGAATTTAAAGATTTGAGGATTTTGAAATGTGGGATTTTGGGACTTGAGGATCTACAAGCTTGAGGAATGGAAATTTAAGTATTTGAAATTTATAGATTCAGAAATTTTGTCTGAGAAAATTTGAAGATTTTTTCAAGTTTAAGCATTAGAATATTTAGGGATTTGGATACTTGAGGCTCTTAAAATTTGTGGATTTACAAATTGAATTCCGGAATTGCAACGTCCATATGCAATCACTTGAAAATTAGGAATTAATGCAATCAGGTAATTTAAGTCCTCGATTTAATACCCGGAATAGCCTCCCCCCTCACGGTACCAGAACAGTCCCGTCCATATTTTCGGGGGTGCCAGATTCAGCCCTGCCTAGTTACGGCAACGTTCGAGGCATAGTGGGAAAGCATGCACCGGCTAAACGCGGACCTCCAATTGAAATGCACCATGTGACTCGAAATTATTGGTCTACGATTCGCAGAGTTCGTCGCGTAATATCATTCATTTAGAATAGTCAATATAGCCCAGGTCCAACTTCATTATCATTATCAATACCGCACAGAGTCGCGTGACAAACGTGTGACCGCAAAGCGGAACGCCCCAAACGTACGCTTGGTCTCCACAGGCCAGCCGTTCTAATTTATCCTTTAAATTATGCACGATCTTGGCTATCCTGTCGATTTTTGATCCGCATGGAAAGAAAGCATTTCACGAGACAGGTGCGCCACAATGTGGTACACGGCATGGGTTAGGCCTGGTTGCACGAGTAAACAGCAAGCTGCTCGAAAAGCTGACGGAGTAATTTTGTTTCGAAAAAAAGACATAGGTTGCCTACTTCTTCCCTGCATATTATTTACTCTTTCGAATACACGAGAAAGGTTTATATCATGAGTTTGTATAGAAGGTTTATGGGGTGATTTTGTAACTATAGTTTCTGTATGTAGTAAAGATACCAGGGTCTACAGGTTAGATGGGTCAAGAGTTGTCCCTATCAACATCCACAAGTATTTGTAATTTTCCTTCGGAAGAACAATACCGAGTAAAAATAACGGAGAACTCCCCGGAGTACTTTTGAAAAAGAAAAAAGAAGGGAATCTCGCGTATCTCGCGAGATTCTAGCCGTCATTTTCCGTGGAATGGAAGGAAACTCCTAAGAGAAGGCTCGTACCAGTTCGGAGTTGTCCATGAGGCTAAACTAATTTGCTGCGCGAGGGTAGTCTCCGGGTTAGAGCTTGAAGTGGGGTGACACGGGGTCGAGGCAGATGGAAAGTTCGAGGGATGAAGGGAGAGTCATCTGATTCCACGTGGTGGGAGAACCGAATTCCGAGTGACCAGTAAAAATGCCACCCCACGCAGCCACCCCCTCTCTTGCCTTCACTTTCTCTTTCCGCTTCGCTTTTTTCCCTCCCTCTTCCTCTCCCTTCTTTTACAAACCCTCACCAGCTCTATACCTTCCACCTTAGGGCTATAGGAAGAAGGACTGTGAACTGGGATAAAAGACTACTCGTGCTGAGTCGCGAGGAAGACGGTGATAGCTTAGAGACGAGCGTGTTCGTGTGCGAGCGTGTGGGCGGGCTCCTTTTTTAACGCACGTGTGTGCAGGTGCGTAAGTACGAGAGGAGGAAGTGCCTTAACGAAGAAAGACCTTCAGGGACGACTTACACTCTATTAACACCCTTCACTTTTCTTTCGACACTGGACTTCGATTTTGTATTGCGTTGAAACAAATTTTAGAATAGACGCTTTTTTTGTCGAAGGGTTACGATATTTATAAATTTCCAAGGAATTTCTTAATTATCAAATTTCCAAATGCATAAGTTCTCAAAATGCAAGTTCTAACTTCTAACCCCCAAATTCTTAAATCTCAACATTTTCAAATCAGCTCCTAATATTTTCAATGTCTACTAGTCCCAATTTCTCCAACCCCAAATTCCATCATTTGCAAGTTTTTAAATCCACAGATATATACTCAGAAGATCCATAGGAGGTTCTAAAATACTCAAGTTCAACTACTTCCAAATTTTCAAATCCTAATTAGCTAACTGCCCAAGTCTTCAAATTCCAATAATTTTCAAATCTCAAGAGTAAAACTCATTTCCAAATCCAAAAATCTGCAATTTTCAAGATTCTAAAATTACACACCCAAATTGTGTACGAACGAATTCGAGTGAAAATGAGAGGGCAGTGAATAAGTTGAAGGAGCCAGAAGAGCCTCGGAAGACGTCGGCCCTGACTTTGAAACAGGGTGGCAGAGAATAAGGGGTGAGTTCGCTGGGGGACTAGAAACGTGGGTATGATGGCGGCAGAGGGGTGTCGGGGGGAGTTGAATCAGCGCGGGGGTGTATGGGGGAATTAGTAGATGGCCGTGGACAATGTGGGGGATACTTTCTCATATCAAGTATGGCCGCCATCGTGGCACGATGGCCAAAACAATAGTAAGTAGAGAGACCCGTAGGCAGTTTCCTTTGCAGTTGTTACCTTTTTTTTCACTCGTTCCTTTCGCCTTCACTTTATTAAACTTTCCGTTTCGGTTTTCGTATGCGAACGGATGCAACGTATTACACGTTTCCCATTGTTTTTCTCGTGTTTCAGTGCGCAGTGAATAAAGTGATGTTGTCGTCGTTATCGTCGCCGTTATCAGTCGCGAGCTCGTGCCTCTTTCAATGAAAAACGATTCATCATCGTACCACGATAGTTAACAAATGGATAATGACAGGGAGCCGGCAAATCGTAAATATTTCGGATTTTTTCAAGTGGGCAAATCGCTGGTAATCACGGTAAGTGTCGAACGAGACGTTAATAAATTTCCTTCGACGTCTGTCAATCGCTGCATGGTTTATCGTTACGGTCTCTTCACCGGCGGTTATTACCGGTTACCTTTTATCGAATCGTGGTTAACAATGCAATGTACGTGCATGTAAACGAAGTACACAAGAATGTCATTTATTCAACAGTGTACGCGGTTACGTGTGCACGTCCTCCCTCTCGACCTTCACAATTTCGCAGACATCTTTCCTTGAACGAATTACAAATTCCAATGACGCGTTTGATTAACCCATCGTGAGGGAGATAAACACATTTACTTGAAACGTGCAATTTATGAAACGAAGCTACACCGTTGCCCATTCCTGGTAGACTAAGAGACCCGACCGATATCCACCGACGTCTTTTGCATGCGAATACTCCACGTGGTTCATCCGACGACACGCATTGCGCAGATCCAACTTTCCGCGATCCCCACCTTTATGTGAATCGCACCTTTTACCATAGTGATTTCAGGTACGCGAATATAACGTTGCGTTATCCGACCACGTGAATTTCCTTCTCTCGTCAACTCCTAAAACGTGATTCTTCCACTTGTTTATTCGAAACGCTGTAAACACGCTAAAATAAATCCGACTATTTTTACAAAATAAATTTCAACGACTTTCTTTTTCGTTTTGAAAATACCGAAAAGTAGAGGCATCGTAGAAGATCGAAGACGCGAGACAAATCTTGTTAGACGTTTAAAGAGAATAAAGGGGCGGGTGGGTGGATGGATTTTCAGTACTGGCGCGATGATATTTGTCTTGTTTACGGGCAGACTTATGCGCGTGTGCGGAACAGTGAAGTTCGCTGCTCGATCAATAGGCCTCTACTGAAATCACATATAAACGCACTCCGTCCAGCACACACGCACACCGGTACACGCACGCGAACCAGCAAAAAAAGTTTTGCGAGCTTTCCTTTCGACTTCGAGAACGATTGGGGATGATCGAACGATCCGCGTGCCGAACTTCCATAATTTACCCTCCTCCTTCGATTCCAGAAATTCCGACTTCCGACCGACTCCGTCGTTAAATTTGATAAACACGATTAATAAATCTTATCTTATTTATTTGTTTCTACGAATACCGCTGTATCCATTGTTTTCTCGAATTCGAGATTCCGCGAAGTCTGATAAGACACTTTGGTCCTCTTTCAAGAAAATTTACTATAATCCTATATGAGAAATTCGGTATTGAAAAATTCACTGTTTATTAATTATCAACATAATGTATATGATTAAAATCAGATACAGAAATGTTAGGACGGATTAAACAATGATTAGGTGCAGTGACAAATGTATCTTTTGTTTGAGCAATTTCTGCAATATTAGAATTGTATTTTATTCCGAGTACATTATCTTTATACATTGATATACATTTTTATACAACTCCTCTTTAAACAAGTTCTATAAAATTAGAATTGATCCATATTTTGTTCTGAGTTCATTGTCTTTATACATACATGTACATCTTTATACATCTCTGAGTAATTTCTGCAAAATTATAATTGATCCATATTTTAAGTACATTGTCTTTATACGTATTGTTTTGAGTGCATTATCTTTGTAGCTTGATATCAGTCGAAATGAAAATTATACACTGAAACGTGAGGTCGAATCATATCGATCGCGTGCATTCAATATTAATTACGTATACTATTCCCGCCGAAAACGCATAATTTATCGTGACATCGTTTCACGATTCGACGTAAACTGCCAGCTGCGACCCGTACGCAACATATGCCGTCGCAGCATCGTTATTTTGTCAAGTTAGAAGGTTGTTTAACGGTGCACGCCCACGCAACGATTCCCGCGAAACGATTCGAGGGAAAGAAGAAAAGGCATATGCAATGTACTTGGACGATAATACCTCTTTCCGTAGCTGTCGCCTCGCTACCCTCTGACATGTTTTTCTCGACACCCTTTCGAGAAATTCCCCTCGAAATGCCCCCCCGTTTTCGTCATTCATCCAATTTCGACTAGAAACGGTGCATAGGCTCCTTCACAATACCGGGGGTACCATACGGGCGTATTTACGCGTATTTTTGGAAAATCCGTCAAACGTTGCGCAGAAATGCTGCGGGTTTTGCATCGGACCCCATCCCTTTCGTCCCGTTTTTCAACCCTCGTAATCCAATTTCCGTGGGCTGACAGGCAGCCGTCCACAATTTCCAGTAATGACCCGGCATGCTTTTTGATTGAAAGTTCGATGTACGAATGCGTGTAAATAATTAACGTTCAATACGAATGCTCTATGTTCGTTATCAAGCAAATAATTTGAATGGGTAGTGGGTTAACGAGAAACCGCTATTCATTTTGTGCAACGTTCCAACCCTTTGTTCGAGTCTCCCTTACAATGTCTTTAATGCCTATCATTGAGGTATACCATTTTAATAAAACCGGCATTTTCTGCGTACAATATCACATTCATTATTTCTGAATACTAACATACAATTGGTCATTTTATTATACAATATTGCAAACTGATGTATTGCATAAAACATTACCCAATGAATACACGCTATAACAGGAAAACATATATTGTTATATACATGCGGTACAGAATTAAAATTGTAAAATTAACAGTCTACGTACGCCATAATTCAGTCCGACTGATAAAAATCTATAATCCACAATACGCATCGTACAATTATCGTATCCTGTCATGACCTGCACATTTCTTATCGAAAAATGTATCTAAATGAATCTAAATTGAAAAAGTCATGCAAGGGTTCAAGAACCACGACAAAATCGTTGGGATCATTTCAGAAATCATCTGTACGGGGATGTAGCAAAGGTTGTTTCGATGGAGTGGTGGGGATGTTTGTGTAGTGGCTCTTCGAAGGTGGTAGGGACGAAAACGATGTGACAGGCCCTTCACAGGGCACCGTGCCTGCACCTAACAGTAACCTGGGAGAGCCCAGAGAGGCGTAAGCGTGCGAAGATCATAGATTAACACCTTGTCGAGGTGTTTAAATTTCTTGTAGAGGGTAGCAGCTGTTAGGTCCTTCGACCCTCTGTTCCTTCCATCTTATTCCTATTTGACCCTTTGCACAATTTCCCGGGAAGGCGACTTCCTAGCGCAGAAATGCTCTCCCCGGATCTTTTTGTCCCGGCGAAACGATTCGTAGAAATCGTAAAATTTGTATCGAGTGGCTCGTTGCTTGGAGGGTTCGTTTGACCGACACCGAAGGTAAACCCCTCGGTTTACCTCCCTCGACGCCACGTGCCAATGACGTTTCACCGACGTTGCTGAAGTCTTGAAAGAAACGATTGTTCCTGAACTCGTGTGTGATTCGAAGAGAAAAAGTGTTTACCCGCGAGTTCTTGGACGAAAGAAAACATGCGCGATAAAACTTCATGTGATGTTCGATGCAATTGTGTTGTTTGGTGACGCATTATTTGCACTTCGGATGTTTATTGAACGGCCTTGAAACGAAGATGCTCGATGATTGTTGAACGAGAACGATTGGTGGGATCGAAAGGTTTACTGGTAAGGAAAATTCTACGACTACGTTATTCCATTTCTGTGTAAAATTACGAGCGTCGTCGTATATTCCGTTTCGTCTCGATGCGCCTTGCGATATACGGATGGAAACCGCGGTTCAGTGACCCGGCCCTTATTTCGTGACAGGACGCACGGGTCTGTCAACTTCAATTAGTAATTACCGAAGTTCTGAAATGCATATTCGTACTATCCTCGAAATTCAGCCCCAAAGCATGGGCGTGCACATGAGTCACGTAGTAGTTGGTTCCCCAAACGTCTCCCTTTTCTGTCGGTGTCCATTCACGTATAGGGCGGTCTTGTTGACTCGCGTGCACAAACTTTCTCCGTTGGTCAATTTTATTTCCACTCGTGGCGATAGCGCGTGGAGACAATAAGCGTATTAATCCGAAAGAAACAGAAATGAGGATGAAATTTCAATATCCAGCCACATGATTCAATCCGTCGGTAATAAGCGTAGGATGCTATAAGGTTTCGCTATTCTGTTTCTCGCATTACGATGTAACGGGAGGGAAAATACTATGCTTTCGTCGGATGCCAATACGAATTCAAATACCGATAACAAAAGACGGTACCATGTTTTGCTTCGCAGAAAGACGAAAAGTGAAACGGTAGAGGATTGGGTCTGCCACCCACGAACCAGCGGTCTTGGACGATGGCGAACGAGACGACGACGATATCGGAATTGACGGAATTGGACAGCGATGGATCGAGTTGCGGGGAACGGGACGTCAGGAAACGTCTCCGAGTTGACGCAGATTCGACCGGGCCGAAGAAGAGACGAAAACAGACGACCCCCGTAAGATTCTCGTCCGCGCTGATGATGAGCGGCGTGCACGAGGAATCGAACGAGGACGAGGACGAGGACGAGGACAGCGAAGGTAAGCTGTCGTCGCAGTCACCCATACCGAGTCAATCGTCGATCAGGGACGAGAACCTCAATAACGAATTCCGTTGCCAGTACTGCGGTCAGTTTTTCGATAGCAAGGATACGTTGAACGTTCACCTCGATAACGAGCACGGTTCCGCGAATCAGTCGTCTCAGCAGGGTCAAAGCGGATACTCGAGTAGCGCGATTAAACAGGAACCGTCTCAGCAACTGGACCAAACCGAGACTCCCGTTAATCTGCTTAGCGTGAAGAATTTCGCGATAAATTGGCTGGCTACCGGACAACACGTGCAATCGCACGTGCAAATGCAGCCGCAGAACGAGGACTCGTGGCCGGGCGGTACAGCCAGTCAAATCACCTCGTTGCCCAATCACCTGCAGGTACTCTCTTCCGGTTTCCCTGGTTCCTTGACGCAGTACCTATCTCTGCCCACGTTCCCGTTAACGGACTCCGGTCCGATCGCGAGATCTTCGATAGGACCGACGCCGGTGAGAATCTTTAATCCGGACGCGTACTGCGATCTGTGCAATAAAGAGTTCTGCAACAAGTATTTCCTGAAGACGCACAAGGCGAACAAGCACGGGATCTACGCGGATTCGCCGGGACCCAGCTCGGTAGACAATAACGTCGTAACTCCCATGTACCCCGCTAACTTTTCTAGCAACCTAGTCAAACTGGAACCACCCGCGACGCCACCCACGCCCAGCGTACCCTGCGACCTCTGCCAGAAACGCTTCAAGAACGAGGATTCGATGCGCAAGCACAAACAGAAAATGCACACCGATTTGCCGGATCAGACGCAGGAACCTCAGATCAATCTATCTCAGAACGAGGAGGACACGGAAACACCGAGAAACAATTTCGCGAGCATCGAGTCATTTTTCAAACAGGAATACGGAGTGGAACAGGAGGACGCATCTTTCATGCCTGCGCCTAGACACCTATCTCCCCAGTCGATTCAACAGGCACGGGACTCCGGTTTTAACGCTGATCGGCTTCGACGCTTAGGGGTGATAAATCCGGAGGCGTTTTGCGAGATCTGCTGTAAAGAGTACTGTAACAAGTATTTCCTGCGGACGCATAAAATGAAGAGGCACGGCATCGTCGTTCAAGATAGCGAGAGGTCGCCGGGTAATCCAGGATCAGCGCCCACTTGGCATCAAGTGCAAACTAGCCCGTTAAATTTGATGTCAATCGTCGATCAGGGACGAGAACCTCAATAACGAATTCCGTTGCCAGTACTGCGGTCAGTTTTTCGATAGCAAGGATACGTTGAACGTTCACCTCGATAACGAGCACGGTTCCGCGAATCAGTCGTCTCAGCAGGGTCAAAGCGGATACTCGAGTAGCGCGATTAAACAGGAACCGTCTCAGCAACTGGACCAAACCGAGACTCCCGTTAATCTGCTTAGCGTGAAGAATTTCGCGATAAATTGGCTGGCTACCGGACAACACGTGCAATCGCACGTGCAAATGCAGCCGCAGAACGAGGACTCGTGGCCGGGCGGTACAGCCAGTCAAATCACCTCGTTGCCCAATCACCTGCAGGTACTCTCTTCCGGTTTCCCTGGTTCCTTGACGCAGTACCTATCTCTGCCCACGTTCCCGTTAACGGACTCCGGTCCGATCGCGAGATCTTCGATAGGACCGACGCCGGTGAGAATCTTTAATCCGGACGCGTACTGCGATCTGTGCAATAAAGAGTTCTGCAACAAGTATTTCCTGAAGACGCACAAGGCGAACAAGCACGGGATCTACGCGGATTCGCCGGGACCCAGCTCGGTAGACAATAACGTCGTAACTCCCATGTACCCCGCTAACTTTTCTAGCAACCTAGTCAAACTGGAACCACCCGCGACGCCACCCACGCCCAGCGTACCCTGCGACCTCTGCCAGAAACGCTTCAAGAACGAGGATTCGATGCGCAAGCACAAACAGAAAATGCACACCGATTTGCCGGATCAGACGCAGGAACCTCAGATCAATCTATCTCAGAACGAGGAGGACACGGAAACACCGAGAAACAATTTCGCGAGCATCGAGTCATTTTTCAAACAGGAATACGGAGTGGAACAGGAGGACGCATCTTTCATGCCTGCGCCTAGACACCTATCTCCCCAGTCGATTCAACAGGCACGGGACTCCGGTTTTAACGCTGATCGGCTTCGACGCTTAGGGGTGATAAATCCGGAGGCGTTTTGCGAGATCTGCTGTAAAGAGTACTGTAACAAGTATTTCCTGCGGACGCATAAAATGAAGAGGCACGGCATCGTCGTTCAAGATAGCGAGAGGTCGCCGGGTAATCCAGGATCAGCGCCCACTTGGCATCAAGTGCAAACTAGCCCGTTAAATTTGATCGTCGCGGAGAGCGCCAGCAGCACCGAGTCGAACGAGCGGCCAGGGGACGACTACGAGTGCAAACCCTGCGGAATACGATTCCAGACCATCGATCTTTATCAGACACATTGCCGGAAGATGCACGAGAGCGAGGAGCAACGGTCCCCTAAGCAGGAGTGCGAACTGGAGACACCGACCGACCAGCCGAACGATTCCATCTCGGAGGATCTTCAAAAATTGCAGACGATGCTGTTACAGCTGAACGGACTGAAGTCCAGCAAGCAGGGACTGTCGTGCAACGTGTGCGGAAAGGAATACGACACCAGAACCGCGTTGCACATTCACGCGACGACCGAACACGCGTCCATCCCTGAAGACCCGACCTCGCCGCAGGAAAAGTCACCGTTAACCGCGACGTCCATGTTCTGCACCCTGTGCGGGAAGGACTACGCGAGCCAGGACGCCCTCAGAAGACACATAACGGAGGAACATCAGCCACCGATTATGAACACCCTTCCTCAAACACCGGCAACTACCTCCACCACGACCAACTCGAACGCGACGAGTCAAAGCACCTCCGAGAGGAAGGTGACGTCGATGACGCCCACGTCGAGCTACTGCGAGATATGCAACAAGGAGCTGTGCAATAAGTACTTCATGAAGACCCACATGCAGAGGATGCACGGCATCGAGATCGAGAACGGGGCTCAGATCGGTGGCGTGATATGCAACATCTGTAACAAAGAACTGTGCAGCAAGTACTTCCTACGAGTGCACAAGCATAATACTCATGGAATAGTGGACGAGAACGCGCCCAGTTCGGTGAAACAAGAAGCGCTCGAGGCCACGAACACCGACGACGCCCTGAAGCCGGAGCAACTCGGGGATTTGAGTCACAGGTACTTCACCCACTTTACGGAGGTTTGTCCGATCTGCAGCAGAAGGTTCCGCAGCATAAAGTGGCTGAAGGCTCACTTGATGGGCGAGCACGGGAAAGCGGGCATCGACAAATGGCGCGAGATGGAACAACATTATCAGACAGCGTCAAGAACAACGAACAGGACCACCAGCACTCCGAAGAATACTCAGCAGGGCTCGAACTTGAAGATACCGAACGGATTCGAGATTACGCAGCAACACAAGTCGGCCGACTACACCGGTTTGGGGAACCAAGTGCTGTCTAATTTGCTGGGATCATCCTCCGAGGATCAACAACTGAAGAGCTATCGTTGTTCCTATTGTACGTTCACGACCACCGTGCTGCCGTTCCTCTTTCTTCACGAGAGATCTCACGTGCACTCCCGGGAAAACGCGGAGGGGGAGAAATCACTTCAGTGCCCGATTTGCTCGCAGAGCTTTCATCAGCCCGAGCTGTTGCATCAACATCTACTCGCGGCGCACCAGTTTCCCACGTTGTTGTCCCATTTTCCACCGCCGATGCTGAACAATTTAACACCCGACGCGGAGAAACTGAACGAGGTCAAGGAGAGGCTGGAGCTGGAGACAAAAGAGGATCGTATCGGGAACAGTCCGCAAGTCACTGCCAACAAAAGCGTCCCGGAGCCGATCAGGAATCAACGACAGGACGACACGACGGTTCAAGTCACTCCTCAGGGTGTGTACAAGTGCGCGCAGTGTTGTTACGCCACGACAAACTTGAACAGGATCAAAAAGCACGTCAGAAAGGATCACAGGACCATCGGTGACCCCACCGACAGCGTGATAGCGGAGCTAGGTAGAACACTGAAGGACGTTGCCAACAGACACAAGGTGCCGGCTTGCTACGCGATGCCGCAGGACATGAACTCGAATCCTGACAAAACTATCATGCAACCGTTCCTCATCGAGGAACAGGACGCGATGCAAGCCGGCGAGGAGTCCGGCTCGGATAAACGATTCGCGCCGGCTTTGGTTTATTTACCGGTTAAATCGAGAATCAACAACCCCCTCACCGCATCCTTCACCCTCAGCCCCGCTTGAATCCATTTTACCTCCATGATCCGCGGATTTTTACAACTCGTTTCTGCGTCTGCGATTTGAGCACGTGTTATTGGTTCCTATGTAATGTGTAAGCAGATAGTTAGCGAAAGTTATATTTTTCATATAAGCTCGTATGGAGCTCCATATTCATTCATTTAATCTACCTTGATGGAATCGTTGGGGATACTTTCGAGCTACGAACGATTCGGAAAGGAGCAGTTAGGTCTGGGGAAAATGGTGGTGTAAGACATTTTGGAATATTTTAAAATTTCTAAGGTTTCACAAGTTCCTAAATATTTTAACTCTTTTAGTCCCTCAATTTTCGAACCCATGAGTGCCGCCATTTTCCTGAAGTCATGCTCTGTTCTTGAGACTTCGTGTTTTTCGTGCCATCGTCTTGATTGTTTCGTGATTTGTCTTACGATAGTACATATTCCAGGAATAGTATTAAAGGCCAATAGAATACGGATCCTAGTTAAAATTGTCCTCTCTCGGACATAGAAAAGGTCCCGTGTTTGCAAGCTATTACGTTGTTATAACGTTCGAATTGGAGAACGTTGTATTGTAAATAGTTTAATCGTATAACTAACACGAACGGGTGATCGAAAAAAGTTCCTATTTTAAATGCGACCTCCGACGAACACGTGTTCGATTTTCTCGAGCAACAATCTCCATTTGTTTGTTTAATCATTCTAACATTTTTGCTTTTTGCTCAAGTCCAGGAAATACGAGCGTAAAAATGAAACGATAGAAAACATGACGCCGCCTCGATGAGTGGTCGTAACCGAAATGACTTTCATTTTCGCGATCGTGCTAGTCAATATTTTATATATATACATATAAATATATAAGCAAAGTTGAAAGATGGGAAAGAAGATTTAGAGAGCTATTTATAATATATGCGTAAGATACGACGAGAAAAAAAGAGGCAGGAGAATGCGAGACGAGAAATGTAATTATAAAAGTGAACGAGAACACGGTGTAAATTATCGTCGCGACGTATAACTGTGAGACGAGCATGATTCATTCTACGATTATTTAGATATCAACGAGCAGAGAAAGCCAATCAACTCAGGGTCGAAAACAGTATAACCCGCAACAAAAAGTACAATCGTATACACAGCCAACGCATCGCATAGAATTTAAAATAAAATATATCGATATATTCGCGGATATCAATTATACACCCTCGGTCTCTTCCGATTTTGCTGGAGATCGAACGACCATACGATTTATCGATGCCCAACTTTTTCTAATCTTAAAACTAATGGAAACTCTCTCATCATGGTGATGGGCAATTAGGCCTGTGATGGTGACAGTGCTCGTGGGCACTGGGGAGTATTTGGTAATTTGATTAATGTACTTTCAAATTTGGAAATTTTTACTGATCAAATTTTTATGTTAGAGAGTTTACGAAATATCGAATTGCACAATTTGTAAATTCTCCAAGCCCCAAATTCTCATATTTGTAAATTCCCAAATCCCCAAACTCTCAAGTCCCCAAATTCTCAAATCCTCAAATCTCTAAATTTCCAAACACAGATCCCAAAATTTCCAAATCCCCAAATTCTTAAATCCCCAAATCTCCACATTTTCAAACACAGACCCCAAAATTTCCAAATTCCCAAATCTCCACATTTCCAAACACAGACCCCAAAATTTCAAAAATCCCCAAACTTCCACATTTCCAAACACAGACCCCAAAATTTCCAAATTCCCCAAACTTCCACATTTCCAAACACAGATCCCAAAATTTCAAAAATCCCCAAACTTCCACATTTCCAAACACAGACCCCAAAATTTCCAAATTCCCCAAACTTCCACATTTCCAAACACAGACCCCAAAATTTCCAAATTCCCCAAACTTCCACATTTCCAAACACAGACCCTAAAATTTCCAAATTCCCCAAACTTCCACATTTCCAAACACAGATCCCAAAATTTCAAAAATCCCCAAACTTCCACATTTCCAAACACAGACCCCAAAATTTCCAAATTCCCCAAACTTCCACATTTTCAAACACAGACCCGAAAATTTCCAAATCCCCAAATTTCTAAATTTGAAACCTTGATGTGTCCACTAGTGCCCTGAGGTCTTGATCTGCCCATTACCAATCAATTTAACAGTAAGATTTACATAGTCTAGTCGTTTACAAGAAATAGCGAAAAGTAAGTTCCTGTTTGTTCATTTTTTCGTGTCTGAATGCTGTTTCAACCTCGTGCCTTGCAACCGAAAGAACCGAGAATCAAAAATTTCTTTATCGCCATTAACGGAATGAATAGATGAAAACGCGATTCTAGTGTCCAACGCGAATCCATTATTTCTGTTGTCCGTACAGAAACAATTCTTACGACGATAATTCTCTCTTGATCTCGTAATGGCCGACTTCATAAGCACATACGAAATTATATCTATTTTAGATCATTTGAAGTTAAAATTAAACTGAAGCTACTTTTACTCTTTTATGGAGACCTGATCAATATATTGTCAATATTTTAGAATTCTGATCGATACAATATATTGGCAATATAATATTGTCAATGAATATAGCTCGGAATATCAACGAAATATGAAAAAGAAAAATGGGAACAATTTTTTAAAAAATTGCTATTTGTTCATGAAAAAGTACACGAAGTGCAGAATGTTAGTAAATGGGAATTTTATTACGGAATTTTATAACGAGCTTCAAAATATTTTGTCAAACGAAAGGTCTCTAGTTTTATTACCTACATATTCGTGTATTCATTGCCTGAGGTCTTCGTAACGTTCCATTTTAAACTCACATAAAATCGGCAACAAAAAATAAATAGAACATATTTGGCGCTTCACAGTAGTATTATGTCGACCTAGTTGAACGAAAGTTTGATCCAATATAAAAGTTTATTCCATCAAACTTTAAATCAACAATGATTGTTCCATCGAGCTAATGTAACTATCGGCTAATACAACTTTTACGGATTTTCCAATCAAAATTAGAGAACGAACGTACAAATAGGTTACCGAACATTTTAAATCGGGTTTCCAATACTTTTCTTCATCAAATAATTTATGAAAGTAGAACCTCAAAATAGATCATTCTTTCCAGGGTTCGAACTTCAAATCTTTTATATTGAGAAACAAAAAATAAAGTCTTAAACTTGTTTTTTGTTGTACCATCAAATTGTATAATAATGGTTGCTGCTCGGTTTCAGTCTCCATTGCTTACAGTTAAAATTTCCTCACAGACCAGAAAGAATTTTTTAACTTGTTTAAAGTTAAAAGTAACAAGATAAATGTTCTGTTCGAATTTCGAGGGTATTTGAAAGGCAGCTGTTTTGTCAGAATGACCAGCCGATAGCCAGCAGTCGTCCTAACCTCAACTCCATTCGTAAAATGCGTTCCTTGCACCGGTGGGGTCTTCGTCCCTTCGATGAGCAAACACGCGCGTTCTGCTCCCGATGCACGCCCACGCAATGTTGACCTTGGCTTATGATACAATAACAAAGCCCGTTTTAGCAATATCTCATCATCGCAAACATAAGAATTCGAAGTTTCAAACAATCGACGTAACTGTTCAACGAACTGAAACCGTTCACGATTTATGGCATAGGTAGCAAAAACGGCACGAGTCGATCCTCAACAGCTATAAAAGTTTCCCCGGGACAGCTGAAATTCGAGAACCGCGTCATTTAACAGGGCACGTCCGGATTTTTCGGACGAAAATTCGTCTGAATTAGTATGCGCACACGCGCGCATTAACATATTTGTGGGGAATCGGCCATTACGAATCGAGAGAGAAAGAGAACGCATGGGGTGGGGACAGAAGGTACAGAAACGAGGAGGTCAGAGAGAAAGAGAAGAAATTTGTGAGCGGGGAAAAATGGAATTTTTAGGCGGCATTGTCGGGCCTAGACAAACGGTCCCACATCTGGTCCCCTTTTGGGAAGGTCAGAGAGGAAGAGGTCGCGACCTTGGCCGGAATTTTTCGGGAAAAAGTCCAGGAGAAACGACCTGAACGAAGGGGAGAGGAAGGACAGTGGTACCCCCTGTCCGCCCTCTCCCC